CTTATCAAGTGATGATGTTGAAAATAAAATATAATAATAATATAATAATAATAATATTTTTTTATTTTCAACATCATCACTTGATAAGACACAGAGTGTGTTGAAACAAAATGGCTATTTTTGTAGTGATTTTATAACATACTTATGTTATAATTTTTTTATAAAAAATAATTATATCTGCTCTACTTTGTATTGAGCACTCTTTTAAGAATAGTAATTGTTGGTTATTGAATTCATTCCGTATATACCAATTATATACTTTGGTATATATATATATATATATATATATATATATATATATATATATATATATATTCATGAATCATTCATACAAAAAAACAAATATAGAGGTTAATGATTTAAAAGGCGAGAATACATCGTCGCAAACTATATAAATAAGACACATCAACCCCGAACCTGTATATGAATGATATTTGCACCTTTTAATTGAAATATATATATATATGTGTGTGTGTGTGTGTGTGTGTTTGTGTGTGTGTGTGTGTTAAGACACAGATATATGATACACGCTCCGAAAGTAATGTTGCCGATTTATATCAACGGAAACTACAAAAGATATCGGGATCATAATTACACTGTTGGATAGATCAAATATTCAGCTACAAAACAATATTATATCCACGTTTATTTTAAACAGTGATGAAAATTTCACATGTTAACAAGTGTGCTGGTTCATTTTAATAGATAGTCATTCAGCTGTTTGTGGGAAAAATAATACAATTGGAAATATTATATTTCGTTCCGGGTCCCGCCCAGAGACCTAAAGTTAGAAATGGCATGATGACATTTTTCACTGACCAATTTAAAAGAAAAAAAGAAAAAGCACAAATATATTTTATATAGACAAAAGCCTTCGTAAGGTGTGGGATGTACTCGTGAGAATATTATTTTGTATTTCTTTAAGGCATGGATTTCCAGGAATCTCTTCAATGTGTCTACTAGAATCTTTTCCAAATAACCCGAGGGCTCCAACTACAATAGTTATGGTTGATGTTCCCATGTGTCACATTTTTGAGATTTTGATTTCAAGGTCCTTGTACTTTGATAGCCTTTTGAAGATGTTCAAACATACACGGCAGTCTGCTGGGACTGCCATATCAATAAGGAGGCTCTTTTTTTGATTGTGGTCTCTTAATAACAATGTCTGGGCGGTTTGTGAGACAGTTTTTCAATCTAGTATCTGTCTTAAATATCTATGTCTACCATTTGTCCATGACACAAATATTACTACCACTTATGATCCGTTGCTCCTGCTATATATTTAGAGATCCTTGGCAATATCCAAAGATGAATCAGCGATATTATTGGTCCTGATCTAGCATCTCGTCTTCAGTCTCTTTCTCACCCTCGTCATGCTACCCCCTTTGACTTTCTCATAAATACTTTCATGGAAATTCTTCGGATGAGATTTTCGCTATGGTTCCTACACTTCCTGAATTTCAGCGTTGTACTAGACTGGTGACGAGTTCTCATCATTTTACAGTTGGGTTGGCTAGATGTAGCCGTAAGTTATATGCTAATAATTTCTTTTCTCTTATGTAATTATCTTGCAGACCCGCGCTTTCAACCCATCTTTTATCTTCAAAACTGTAAATGAAATATCAATCGCTATCTACTGTTCTTTTGTTGAAACTTCTTTTGTGCCTTCTCCTTATTGATGTTTCTGTTTTGTAGCACGTCCACACCCAGTAATCACTTATGTCTTAATGGCTTTACAGTTCAGCTTGGAGTGAACGTGATTAAATAATATATACGGTGTGCGATGTATAAATTGTCGTCTAAATTACGTAAAAAGGAATTAACACTAATATCTCATTTTAATAGTTATATTTACTAAAATTACAAAATCCTGAAATACTAAAGAATAACTTTATTTAATAAAATTACCATTAGACTCAACCACGGCCTGCAGACGACTTCGGAATCTCCTGCAACTCTTCTGGGCGGTCTCCTTGTTTAAGTTCGTGAATGCTGTCATAATCTTTGCCTTCAGTTCATCTTTGGTGTTACAATAAGTTTTGTTGGTCTGTCGCTCAACTGCGCCTCACGCATAATAATCAAGGGGGTCTGCAGTTTTGGGAGTTAGGTGGCCAGATGTAAGGTGTCATGTGGTCGCAGAAATTGTCTGACATGCTTCTTCTGCTTGTGTGGGCTGGGGCAGAATATTTTGCCAAACATATGGTGTTCCAGCAGCCACCTTATTTACCTAGGGCAAAAATATCTTTTCAAGGCCATCGATGTAGGCCTCCATGTCTATTATGAGGCCCTATGGGATAATGAATGAATTAATAACGTGGCCATCCCTGGTGATCACTCCAAACCCTTCGTAATCACAATTAGATTCATCCAACTCCTTCTGAACTTTCCCAACTACCCTCAAATTGAGATCCAAGCACTCTAAAGCATTCATATTGGAGCTTCCGGTGCGCATGCTAAGCAGTGCAGCATGCCGTTTCCAAACTGTTCGCAGAGTGAATTATGTCATGAGGATCTGTTTCTCACAGACAGTACCCAACTGATTCTACTATATGTGCAATAGATAAAATCAAAAACAAACGACACACATGCACGAAATTAAAATATAAAATGGCAACAATTTACCCATAGCACTCATTGTGTGTGTATGTATATATATATATATATATATATATATATATATATATATATATATATATATAAATACATTTTCAGACAGGTTTCGTTAAATAATTTAGACACGTTCTGTCTAAACTTCTTTTTGATAGGATCCTTTTATTTTAAATGGAAGGTTTTTTCTGAGTTTATTAAAAGACGAAATGAAAACACCGTGTTGGCTCATGTACTTATTCCGAGTACTTTCGACATAGCATAATGTCATCATCAAGGTATTGTTAAATATATATTAAGTACTTAGTGTCCATGGTTTGAAGGACAAAAGTTGTTGTGGTCATCCGAAGATTACCATTTTTATGTATGAAATATATATATATATATATATATATATATATATATATATATACACGTCCACATCCTTCACTAGCTCATCGTGTTACATCTAAGTAAATACACGCTTTCTTATTGTAGGATGGAAAACAGCTTCAAAAGTAAAAGCGGCCTCCACACTTTAAATTTTATCTTTAAATGTTTATCTTGAGTCTTCGTAGAGTATGTTGATGCTGAATTAACTGATCTCTTTTAAGTTCTCCATAGAATTTTCTTCGGTATAAGAACATCTTTAGAACCTACGTGTTGCAGTGTTTTTCTAGATAATCATCTCCAAATATTGTAATTGAGATTTCTGAAGTATATCTTATTTTGGAGTGCGGCAAAGCCGATACATATTTAGTATTTTCCTGAGACAACGTTGGGGGAAAATTTATAACAACTTCATATGAAAGGAAAAACACATTTCGCACAAATAGAAGAAGCCTCAATAGCTTTTGGTAGATATAGATTGCACTCACCTTCTAAAATCTAATGTCGGTTTAAAGTAATCTCCGAGTTTGAAAACTTTCCCACATTTTCCGGACGTTTAAAAATAGATTTTAGTCTGCACATATATTTTCTATTCAGTAGGCTGAAATATGGTAAAGTTTTTTCTTTAAAAGGATGATAAAACAAACCTGTTTACAGGTGTCAGAAAATCTCTTCATCGACAACTCATTACACCAATTTCATTTTCAGCCTGCAATGTGTTACCCAGAAATTTGATTCTTACTTCTGTCAATGTTTACGATCCTCAGCTAGCGTTCAACCGGCAAGATATATAAATGGAGCAAGGCAATGTTTAGTTCCGTCTCTGTATAAACATCGCAAATTAACCGAATCCTACCTTTGCCCAATTGATAAAAATAACATTATATTTAGACACAAACAAACAATATGCAAGTTATTAGACATTTGACTCTAAACGTTCTGCCACCTCCCCATCACCAACGGAAGTTGAAGGCAAATAATGATGTTAAAATAAAAATAGCAAACGATGTCAGTTGTTTAATCTGGTAGTGCATTCTCGTGAATGCGCTACCAGATTAAAGCTAACATATATAGGTGAGACACATACACATGAAATGATTTTCTCTTTGACTGAAGGCAATTCAAACTTAAATGACTACCTGTACTGGGCAAACGATGTTCCTCACCTGACCTAAAATGATGCATAATTAAGAAACAGATTGTAGGCAAAATAACAACAGGTAGATATCCCTGTTTACGATCGTTCTCGACTTTCAAAAGATCAGTTGAGACTTATAGCCGTATCACATTGAAACGCTAGTTTTCGTACGATCACCGAAGTTAAAGTCGAGGTTAAAGGCTCGGAATTGGAAACCGGAGAGCTGAGTTCGAATACAAGTAGGGTACGTTTTATTCAGTTACGTCCAAATACTCTTGTGGGCTAATTAGTAGAACTTATATCAGTAAATCATTATTATCTAAAAGAAAAATCTCACAATATAAAATTTTTCTGACTTTAAATAGACTGCAACAAGTTGATAAGCCATAAAAAATCAATCAAAAGAGGATTTAGGCTGCCAGTGACATTCACGTCATTTTCCATATGATAATAGAAAACGTAATGATTGGCACAAAATGATCCGCACAATCCACTTTTCATAGAATTGTCTAAGGAGCTTCACTGGGCATTGAGCAAAGCGTCTTACTAATATCAACAAACACATGGCAGAAAACTGAATTTTGTTCAACACAATTCATGTAAGGGATATAGGATAACAAAGGCTAAACTTTTGCCAAATTCACACAAAAGAATATGCGTTTCTGCATCTATTCATTCTGTCAGTAAATTCTTAACTTTGTAATGTGGCTTAATAATGGCATGATTCCGGGCTTTAGATAGCATTCTTCTACTACAAGTTCCACACATTACCTGGCAGACATCAAATTCAATTGTTAACCACCAAAGACAGATATTTCAGTTGAAATATTATTCTCTACTATCCTTTCAATCCTGACAAATTAAATCCTTTTATTGGTCTCTGTACGTTTTCCAAATAAATCTAACTCTCTGGGTAGTGTAATGACAAATGCCGGAAAGTATGATCCGAACATGCATCGCGACTATGAAAGAGACCTTCAAGAAACGAAACGAAACCTTAATATTATCTCCTTGTATGGCAGTGAATGCTCGCCATTTTCTTTACAGATGAATAAGAGGCTCAAATCGACCTTGGATGCAACTTATTTCCATTGTGGAAAATGTATCTTTAAAATGAATGTATATAATTTAAGCTCAAGTTCTTTACACATTTAAAGTAACCTAAATCAATTGACATTTACTAATTTTATTTATGTTTATTCAGGAAACACCAAAACTCACAGTCAATGCCAATTCAAACATTAAAATCGCCCATTACGTACACCTTAAAATGTCTTACATTTAATCGGTTTTTGAACCCTCAAAGGAACAAGTGTGAACTTTAACATTGTAGTAAAATAGTAACACTCTAAGCTTAAGTGCAAATAGAGATGGATGTCTTTCCAGTCGTGGTCAGGTCGATTGCTAGACCACCTTGCCAGTGGACCCAACCTGAAGTATATGCCATCGATTATCTCTAGTTCACCAGTGACAGTCAATACTCTATCGATTAAACCCTAGCAATGATTGATGTCTGCCTTTCAGGGCACAGATTGATTATATTATCCACGAGACTCCCTAACTTTCATTACAACCAATTTCATTTTCAGCCTGCAATGTGTTACCCAGAAATTTGATTCTTGCTTCTGTCAATGTTTACGATCCTCAGCTAGCGTTCAACCGGCAAGATATATAAATGGAGCAAGGCAGTGTTTAGTTCCGTCTCTCTATAAACATCGCAAATTAACCGAATCCTACCTTTGCCCAATTGATAAAAATAACATTATATTTAGACACAAACAGACAATATGCAAGTCATTAGACATTTGACTCTAAACGTTCTGCCACCTCCCCATCACCAACGGAAGTTGAAGGCAAGTAATGATGTTAAAATAAAAATAGCAAACACAAACGATGTCAGATGCCTGGGCAGTTGTTTAAGGTCAGACTACGTTTGCACAGCACCGTATCGATACTTTCAAACACAAATGCATTATCCAGAGATAGACTGTAATATCATATCTTAGTAATTAGAAAGTAGTTATATATATATATATATATATATATATATATATATATATATATATACATATATACATATACACATATATATATACATATATATACATACATATATATACATATATATAAAATGTATACACACATATATATATATATATATATATATATATATACATATATACATATATATACATATACATATATATGCATACATATATGCATATATATATATACATACATATATACATATATATATACATGCATTTACACTGCGTGCCAAATTATTATCGAGATAACTTTTTTTCTAATATTTCAAGAAGCGTCCAATTAATTCACACAATGTTGGCAACACTGAACTGCGCAATCACTGAAATTTCCGTACTGATCTGCGCAATGTAAACAAACTGGCGCCATATTTGTTAGCACGGTGATTTGAGTGTGCTAAATTAGTAAAATTCCCAGTTTATTCATGTTGAACGTGAATGTTTATGATCAAAAGAAGCTAATAAATAAGATAATCAAACAAATAATAACAGATACAAACAAAGGCACACTTTTAAACAAATTAATAGGGAACGTGCTTTCCATATTTTGAAATTACTTGAAGAAGTCGACGATCCATAGAATTTGTTAATTGTAGGATGTCATCTGTTGTAATGCCGCGAGATATGTCAAGAATTGCTTCCCACGACTCAGCGTTGCTCCTGAATTGTCGTCCGTTCGCGTACAGTCTTTGCTTCATGATGCTCCAAAGGTTTTCGATTGGGTTCAAATCCGGAGAATTTGCTGACAACTTCATTTTTCGAGGTCGATCGAAGCCTAACTGTTTCAAATATTCAGTAGTCTTGTGAGCAGCATCTGAGGGAGCATTATCTTGCATAAAAACAATGGCCCTTCTGAAGGCAACTCTTTACCTTTTCATCCACGGTTCAAGATGCTCCTTCATAAACGCTATGTATGCATCGGCATTCATTTTGACGCCATCTGGTACTCTCCATGGGCCCACTAATGTTTTTTCCAATAATACCACCCCAGATCATTATGCCTCCACCGCCTTGTTGGCGTCTCAAACGCTGATGGCGATTCTGTCCGTCCATTACCCAGCCTTTGCACCATCTGTCTGGCCCATCAAGTGTTGCTCGAGTTTCGTCTGTGAACAAAACTTTAGAGAAGTCAATATTCATATTGTCCTCGGCCCATTTCAATCAATTTTGAATGTGATTTCTCGTCAACGGAGGCTTCGATACAGGCTTGACTGTTGTTGCTATTTCCCTCAGATACAGACACCGAGTAGATTTAGACAGAGTAGGATCCCCAGTGCGACTGAAAAGATCTTGACTGGTAAGTCCAGGGTCCTTCGTGGCCTCCCGTTTAAGTCGTGACATGAGACGACGTGAAATAACCCTCGGCTTGCCTTTATCTGCCCTTTTGCGTACTTGTGTAGGGTCGGCGGTGAATTTTTCACTGTTTTATGACACCTCCCTATCATTTTAGAAATTTATATAGTAGATTTACCTTTTGAGAGTTCTGAGGTGATAGTTTTCTTTTCAGCATCACTTAAACTGCTTTTACGGCCCATCTTTTCACTAAATTCTTACACTTTTCTAATAATTTGGCACGCTCAAATCACCGTACTGATAACAAATATGGCGTCAGTGAATGCGGGGGTCAGTGTTGCCAACATTGTGTGAAAATTGTGTTTGAACGGTTTTTGAAATATTTGAAAAAAAGTTTTCTCAATAATAATTTGGCACGTAGTGTATATATATATATATATATATATATATATATATATATATATATATAGTTTCTTCGTCGTTGATCAGTGTATAAATAGGCCACAATATTAAGATAAATTAACGCTTTTTGGGGAACTCTGCTCTTGTGCCTATCTTTCAGAATATAATTGGTATTATTTCCATATATATATATATATATATATGAATAGATAGCGACAAAATAGTAGACGTTTATCAATCTAACATGTTTCACTTTTATTAACGCTTCGACGGAGATTGAGACAAAATAGTCAAAACGACAGAACTTTGGTATTTTCAGTTTTGTTTTATTTTTAGTGCTCTCATTATTTTAAATATTTGTTTAATTGTGGATGAAGTTATTATACTTGTATTTTTTTACAAGTACGTTGTGAATGGTGTTTGGTAGGTTTTCGTATGTTCTTAAATGAATCCTAACTCCATACTAAAACTCCATACTTCAATTGAAAATAAATATAAAAATCTGCCTTTATAATGGCTAAAGGAATAGTCGAAACGCTCGGATATGCAGAACATTTAGACAATTTTTACACACTTACACTTTATGTCCAGAAATGAAAAATTCAAACGAACCAGAAAAGTTAAATAAAACGCTTCAGTACCTTGTCCGTTAACTTTAATGAAACTTGTATAAAATGAGATTGCTCCGCAACTACAGAATTATATATATATATATATATATATATTCCCTTGGTAGCGGCGAACAAGGTAAATCTCATAAATTTTTTAATCAAATTTTGTAATATTTTTGCAGTTACCCTTTTTTTGTGAGGGGGCAGTGCTAAGTCAGTATAAAATGATTAATTAATGCCCCAAACGCTTTCGGACAATTAATTAGCTATTTTAATGGTTTTATTGTTAATGTATTTTCCTGTCTCTGTGCTCTAAGTTTATTTCGGCACAATATAAGTTAGAACACAAACACAGTAAAATATTAACAGCGAACCGCTTGAAAATGGATATATATATATATATATTGTCTAGCTGTCTTTTTCAAATTATGTTGAATGCGCATCGTGTATCAGCGAGTGTAGATATTGTCCAAGCCAACGGAATGAAATGCTTTCAGCTATTGTGAAGTGAAGGATAATTAGAGTTACTCTTTTTTTTAATTGTTAAATAAATTTTATCTTGGCATTCACTCATTTGTTCATTTTAATGTCGTAACGCACGAGGTGATACACTAGCGAGATTTTTCTCTGGGCTGAATGTTAAATGCATTTATAATTTAATTTCTTAAATTGAATAATATCATATTTACCATGAATTTTCTTGATTTTGTATTAAGAATTTCAAAAGCCAGAAAACTTTTCATTTCACAATTTAGCTCAAAACTTTTCATTTCACAATTTAGCACAAAACTTTTCATTTCACAATGGTATAGTGTGAACAAATATTTACCGATTATTTTTTAGTAATATTATTTCCTATTTATATGAACACAATAAAAATCTAACCATCTAATTAACAAGTTAACCTACGGAATAAGGCATTAATTATACTATCCAGTTAAATATTGCGCTTGAATATATCTTTTTACCTTAAGTTATCATAATATGCAAAGTCTATAATGTAGATTATAGTAGTTACAAAATGAGTACCATAATTTTTTTCTGATATTGATAATTGCAGGAATTTAGTTGTAAAAGAAATGTAATACATCTTGGGTAATATATAAATATATGCTAGCGTGCTTTCTCTTGCCTGTAAATAATAACGGATTACTTTTTGTTTTTTAAATGCCTAGTCTTAAATCAAACTTGAATTAATGCAGACCAGCTATCAAAAAGGATATCCTTATGTGTGTGTTTGCGTTTTTCATACCAAATTTAGCTTTACTTTCTTCTATCAGTTTTATGTATGTATCTTTCTTTTTTGCCTCCATTTTCTTTCCATTCAACTTTTCGTTTGTCAGTCCTGTTCTACTTCCTTTGTCACTCTCCCTTTGTACGTAATCCCTTACTACTCCCCTTCCTTTTTTAGTTCTTTTCTCCTTTTTGAAATTCATGTTTTATTTCTTGTTTCTTTCATTTTCGCTTTTTTTTTTCATTTTCGTTATGTTCTTTTCCGTTTCTTTCTTTATACACTTTATTCTATTTTATTTCTTTCTCTTTAACTTCCGTCGAAACCTTTCTTCTTGTATTTCCTGCCTTCTCATTATGTGAGATTTTATT